ATGTAAAATACATCATAAGATTATCAAACTTTCTCATATGGTTGCAAAACAAATCCGAAATTATAAAATACTTCTCTACCTTGGGATTATGAATTATGAAGAAACATGCAAAAATCCATCTTTTACAAATAATACAGCATTTCTGCCTCTCTACTCTATATTGAACCACATCAATCATTCTCTAAGCAGACACTAGTTGTCATTATGCTACTTTTTCCTTCAAAGTCAGGATGAAGCCTCATAATCCTTCCAACCTAGAGCAATAAGCAATGGCCCCTAACCAACTGAAGTCAGCACAGACCCCATTTGTTATTTCTGTCTCTGGGATTAATGCACTACGACAGAGCGCCATTGTATTATGAAGGCTGTAGTGTGATTTAAAATCTGTACTTCGGCAGGGATGGCATATGACGGATGTGTGCTAATTTGCCTCCATTCAAACACTCCAGTGGTCAGCTAATAGGTTAACAAATACCACACTCAAGAGACAACTCCTAGAAATCCTTCTGCCCAATTGTTATTAGATCTTTTGCTAAGTGGCAAAATGGATCAAAGAAATGAGCCATAATTGGTGAGGTCATCAGTTTGTTAATCAGCATACTGTATGCCAGAAACCTTCCCCTGGTTAAATCCATAGATTCAAGAAAACTGGTTTAGCTAATATATTACGGGGGATCCCTCCACCCATGCATGAAAAGGGCATTATAATCCAGCATAAGCCAGAGCTGGTATTCCTGGGAGTGATATCCAAGACTTGGTCCTCTAAGTGGCCTTAGGAAAAACCGCAGGGTCAAAGTAGATCTGGTGACGTGATGCTGATGAGGTTAGAGTAATGTAACCCTAGAATTTTGTAAATGTCTAGTGTGTATTTCAGGTAATGTGGAAGGTTCACCTGATGGACAAGACCAGGGTGCTTAGCATATAGGTCTTCTGAACAGTTCTCCACCTACTTGCTAGTAAATGTTTAATAAATGTCTGTGTCTCTGAGACGAGGAGATTGTCAACCTTCAACCTCTAATAAACGGTACAACCTATGGAAAAGAATCTAGTAGTAGAATATGGCCAAACTGCTAAGATACGGCACACATCTGTACTGACATGTAAGATTTTTTCAAGTACAGCAAAGAAGAAAGTTGTCCATTGAACCAGTGGACAACAGTGAAGGTCTGGCTATGAAAGGAACTTCCTTCTGCTTTGGCCAATGGCCATGTGGCTGCACCAGGACCACCTCAGCCACCTTTGTCATTGAGAAACAAGTAGGAGCTGGCCGGCAGCTGCTTCAAGATGACCAGGCAGCTTTATCTACTTGGCAATTAAAAACGATTCCGGGGGTGGTCTGAAGGCCCATGATTAGAGGCACCATGGCTGCCGGAAAGCCGTCGCAACAGGTGAGCCTCGTCAAGCAGCTCTCCCTTCTTTTTGTCCTGCGGTGTCAGAACACACTAAGTGACATCTCCATTCCCGTGCAAGTTTGATGTGCACAGATTTCCTGAACCGGAGCTGCATTTATTTCCACGTTTTTCAGACCCCGAGGCAAGAACAAAAGGATTTTATTTTGACACCCACTCAAATGCACAACTGAGAAGTGGAAGTGATTAATTTGCAATACAAGACACACTAAAAGGCACGACTCAAGTGAAGAATCTCACAGATTTCCATTAATGCCTTATATGCGATGAACGTGCCTGATGAAAACCATCTGCTTATGGACCGATATCAGTATCTGGCAGTACCTGCCTGCAAAGGCGTGCTCAAAAGGAAAACATAAAATTTTATTGTACGCCTGCCTGCCTCAATAAATGTTTGCAATCAGTTCTGAAGATAGGAACACTCCATCTGAACCCCAATCAAGTGAAAAGTAATTCCTCTCCCAAAAACAGAAATCTGTTCTTCTCATTAGTAGACCTGATTTCAAAAAACTGCATGTATATTTGAGATTTGTCAATAAAAATTTTGTAAAAATGCCTTTTCTTCTCTTTAAGTACTGACGGATCTTGATTTTGCTTCCTGGTCCACAAAGCCTGAAATAGTTACTATCTGATTCCTTACAGAAAAAAATCCACTGACCCCTGAAATAGACTATATTAAAAAATGAAGTAAATCTATTACTCTATTGATACCGATATGGAGATATGCAACATTTTAAAAAAGCAAATGAGATAATATAATCCTATTTTGCAGTAAAATCCCTTTGTAACATCTACCTGCACCCATAGTGCACCCTCACATGCACACGGTGTCTGGAAGGAATTACAGTGAACTGGTGACACCCAACTGTTCCTAGCAGACACTCCACAACCAGTTGGTTCTCACGGGGCATCCAGGGTGACGTGTAACTCAGAAATCCCATCTGGTGACTCCCCTTTTAAAAGCCCCCAGTGGCTTCTCATTCACACTTCAAAACAAAAAACAAAACAAAACAAAACAAAACCACTCCAAGCCTTGTCGGGTACTAGAGCCCCGGGGATCTGGCTCCTGGCTGCCTTTCTCATTCATGTCCTCCCAGGCTTCCTTCAGCCCAATAAGGTGCAGCTGTACTGGCCTCTGTGCAGTACCTGCAAGCACTGTCTACCCCAGGACATTTGTACTTGCTGTTTCTGCAGGCTGAACATGATTCCAGCAGTCATGGGACTGCCTGCTCTCCGATGCCTGGTGTGAGATCTAAGGCCACCTTATCTAACTGCCCGCACTGCTGGGGTTCTGTGTATCACAAGGCTCACTGGCTAAGGTCATGCTCACCTTCATGCACTGTGTCTTCCTCACTAGAACATGACCGCTATGCAAGGCACACACTGTTTGCTTCTCTGATATCTTCCAGCAAACCAGACGAGTGCCTGGAACACGACAGGTGAACAGCCAGGAGCTGTCATGGGAACTCAGAGGAGGTAAGCGAGGAGGAGAACAGGAACATCTTCTCTAAGCAACTTGTTACTGTCAGCATATATTTGTACACTGTTCATAAAATTAGAGAAGTGTAAAAAGAAAAAAATTACTGGTTAACAAGATTTAAGAGATTATTTTTAAAAAAATTAAAGTTCCTCCCTCTGTTCCTGTTCTCCTCATGTTTATTACTGACTCTCTGTAACTTGTTCTTGTAACCTTTACTGCACTCTCTATCAACAGGGGCAATGAGTACAAGTGAGCTGAAAGCAGAAATTGAAGAAAGACTTTTATTTCAACACAGAGGACTTGGGGGGCATCAGCTCCCCACGGAGTATTTTTCCTGCCCCACAGCCCGGGCACACAGGGAATGTGTAAAGTCCGCTGCAGGCTCTGTGCTTCTACCTGTGGAGAGCTTCCCAGACAGAGGGGGCACCAGGTGGGCTGACGGGAGACAAGTTAAAGCACCGCTGGGTCTTGATTTTGTCACAGTAAAACAAAGGGACTTGGTTTTGGACAGACAATACAGAAGTCTCTTCCGCCCTAAAATGAGATGATTTTCTGCCTCTGCGGAATGACGGGAAACAAAGTGACCCTAAAAGACATCCTTACATTAGAGCGCACAGAATGTCTGCTTTCATCTCAGAGTCAAGTTCAGTCACACCGGGGCCCTGGCAGCACGCCGCGGTGTGACAGCGCCCATCACATGATGCCGAACACTGCAGTCCCCTGGAGCGCCCGGTGCCCGCCCCCGGGTCTTCCACGTGCCCCAGACCCCGAGGCAGTGGACACGGGAGCGAGGCCCGCAGCACCCTGCTCCCAGGGACAACTGCACTCTTTCTGAACAACGTCGGGGCTACGGGGTGCACCTCATGTCCGCAACCAGCCTTTTTTTTCACTGAATTTATATTTTCACATCATTAAAAATTATTCAAAGTGTTTAAAAATAAACAAGATAAAAACTGAGGAAAAGAAGAATGTAAGCTTTAATAACAGAATATTCTTAACTCCCAAAATAATTCTATATACCTACTGTTTTATATTAACCTTAGAGTCAACATGATTTTAAAATATTTTGAAAACACATAGTGAGCCTAACACGACATAAAGTTTGTCAAATTTCATATACTTTCAGAAAGCTAAGATATAAATGTAAGTTAAAAATATACAAAATTAATTCTTTGTGAGGCTATTCTGGGGACTTTATACCCAAAGAAAAGATCTACATCAGTGATTTCAACCCCCATAACTTCTGCATCTTGATAAGGATATTTAAAACCGCAGGGTGAGCAAATAATCAAGAATAAAGTTGGTCTTATGGAAATTTTACGTAATCTTTAGGTGAAGAAGGTTGAGGTTCAAGATTTCGTCATACTTATGACTGCTGAAATTTATTTGTCCTGGCATTCAAAGTGTCAAATGTCTTCTATTGCTGCTACTTTTGCTACAATTACTGTAATTACACAGTTCATTACAATGGCTACAACTAAATTACACACAGAAATAAGTCTATTTAAATCGTACACTTAAAGCAAAATAAATAGAAGCCAAACAAGGCCTGTTACAATAAACTTACCCTGAGCAAAAATGTTAAAAATTTTTCTTTATAACACGGCCCAAAGTTTCTTCAAAATACACACTGCTAACGTATTTCCACATTTCCTTTCCGGTACCTTCTTCCCTGAAAGAACCAACGCTCCGCCGCCTCGCCCTCCCCTCCCGGCGAGCAGAGCCTCACTCCCGCGGGCAGGGGATGCTCGGAGCCTGGCGAGGCCTCCAGGCGGCGTCCAGCAGGCGGCGCCCGCGAACGGGGGGAACGGGGGGGGGAACGGGGCGCCCGCTCTGGGGGACGTGGGACGGCAGGCCTCCCCCGCTCGGCACCCACGCGGACCGGCTGGGAGAAACGTACTCCTAGCGGCAGCCTGCACCGACGCGCCTAGAAATTCCACAGGACCGTAACCTTCCCCTAAAGGACTTCTCATCGGAAAACCTCAAACAGCGGCTCTTTAAAACTAAAGATGGACACACTTTAATGACGAAGAGGCTGCGGCGGGCCCACCAGCGGACACGCCGTCACGTGTCCCCGCACCACACACACGTGGGGAAGGAGATTCACGTACTTTCACCGCCGCCGCTGGACGCAGCCTCCCTCCGCTCCGTAGCGCCGTTGCCCGCGGAGCCCGGCTCGGCGGCGTCGCGGGGCGTCCCGGCGCCGCAGCGGGCCCCCGGCTGCGCCCCCGGCGCCCAGGCGCGGCCGTCCCGCTCGCCGCCCACGCCCTCCGGCTCTCCGGCGTCCGCGGCGCCGCCCGCCGTGCGGCCCGAGTGCCCTCTCAGGGCCGCGGGCCGTCGCCGACACCCGGCGGCTTCCTCGGCGGCCCGGCGCCCCCACGCCGCGCTCGCCTCGTCGCGCGCGGGCTTCTCGGGGCGGGAGCGGCGCTCGGCCGTTACCCTGCCCGCGGGCGCGGCGCCGGGGTTCTTCCCGATGCAGGACCAGTCGGCCCTCTGCAGGACGTCCCTTCTCTCCCTCCGCGAGAGCCCTCTGCACAGGAGCGGAGGGGCGCCGGCCGCGGCCTGCGGCGCGGGGAGCGCCTCCGAGCGCCGCTCCCTCAGATTGTCCGGAGAAAAATAATCGTCGTACGAGGACACGTCGCAGCCAGGGCCCTGGACGGCGGCCCCGGCGCCCCCGTGCAGGCGGTCCCCCCGAGGGGGGCGCCGCTCCTGGGGCCCGCCGGCTTTCCCGCGCCGCCGCTTCCTCGTCAGTCTTCCTTCCGGGGGCGCACCTGACACCTCCGACTTTCTTCTTCTCTTTGCCGAGCAGCTCTCCGCCCCTGAAGGTCCCGAAGGGCGGCGTTTTGTCGCACATAACGTAGGGGACAGACCGTGTTTCTCGTCAAACAGCTCCCTGGATGCTCCCCCGGACCACTTGTCGGGGTCGGGGCTGACCGCTTCACCCGCAGGACCCCTCTGCGGACCTACTTCTTGTTCTGGCAGACGGCCGGTGGGATTCTGGGGCGTTAAATGGCTGAGGTGAGCAGGAGGTGCCGGCGAAGGAACACTACCGGTCCTCACTGCAGGGAAAGAACCAGGAGGTGCTGGCGAAGGAACACTACCGGTCCTTCTAATTTCACCACTTCTAATTTCATCGACTTCTCCCATTCTCTTCTCCTGACTTCCACACCTCAAGTTTCCACAAAGATGGTCAAAAGAGGAGTCCAGAGCACCAGAAAAGGAATTATCTAGAAAACATTAATAAATAATTTTTTAAATGGCTTAAATTATTAGAGAAGTAATTTTCAGTTAACCAATACTTATTAGCCATAGCCACTGCTTCAAGAGAGTATCGACCGATCCACCTAGGGACCTCTTGAGGGCCAGCATTGGCAAACCTGGGCATCAATGTGTGCACAGACGGTACGGGGGTGGGGGGGTGCAGGCAGGGACACACACCTCTACCACAGTCACGCTCACTTACTCAACACACATGTGCAGCACATTTCTTCAGAAAGAGCATCCACACCTTGCTAAGTTCTCGAGGAGGTAAGAACCGATGTCCCTGTCTACATCAAGTTCTAGCCTTTCATGAACACAGGCCCCCCGAACCTCCCCTGACACCCACTCAAAGCCTCATGATGAGTTTATGCCCAAAAGTGAACCACCAGGTAGGCTGTAGGGTTCTGACTTCCCTCATATTTTGTACTTTTCTTGAGAGTGGTGCTAGGCTGCCCACCCCCCATCTTCTGAAAACTGCATGCGTATGTATTCCTCCAGGCCTTGCCTTCACCCCACCCTTTAATCTGGGTAAACCCTACCCTTACTTCAAGCCCCCACCCCAGCCCCCACCCCAGCTGTGCCTCTCTCTGAACCCTTCCACCTCACCAGGTCTGAGCACACACATCCTCTGTTAGCAGAATGCTGCCTCAATTTCCCAAAAGCAGGTGTCCCAGTGTTATTATTCCTATCTGTCCCTCTCACTCAACTATAAGCTCCCAGAGCAGAGACACTATTTTCTGGAATGTGAGGCCTCTAGCCCCAACCTACTAAAGAACAGAGGTGACCTGCAGGGAGCAGGGAAGCCCACAGGGCAGGGAGGCACTGTACCCACACCAAGTCAAGGAGCATGTGCGTCCCTAAGTCAGGAGCGAGAGAGAGGGACACTTTTAATACTCGCAGCTGAATACCCTAGCACACTTTTCAGAAAGCTGACAGGCAGTGTGACATGTCATTAGGCATAAATACTGAGGTCACACTGCCGAAGTTCAAGTCTTGGACTGGCCAATCACAAACTCTATGAACTTTTATGCACTACTTGACCTCTCTGGTCCAGTTTTCTCATTGACAAAATGGGGGCAACAAGGGTAACTACTTAGTAGGGGTACTGGGGGAATTCAATGAAATACAGCATATAAGGTATGCTGAGCAGCACCCGTGACCTAGGAAAAATGAAATCTGTGTTAGATACTATCACTTGTATCCAAGTTATATAAATAAAAATCCATCAAGTGTGAAATAAAAAGAGATTAAGACAAATGAGTAAATAATTTCAACACATAACAAAGAGATGACAAAAATAAGCCACACATGAGGCGCCTACGTGGCTCAGTTGCTTACATGTCTGACTCTTGATTTCGGCTCAGGTCACAATATCATGGTTTGAGAGTTGGAGCCTGGCATTGAGCTCCGTGCTGATGGCACGGAGTCTGCCTGGGACTCTGCCTCCCTCTCTCTGTGCCCCTCCTGAGTGCTTTCTCTCTCAAAATAAATAAACTTAAAAATAAATACCGTTTTGTCATCTGTCCCTGCTGTGGCTTTCAGAAGATATTCTGTAGCATTTTAAGTAAGCACTTTGAACAGTTAGCTCTTTTGGGGGTCACTGCTCCTTATCTGGGCCATACTGTCAGCTGAAACTGGGTGGTTATATCAGATTTCTTAAAATTTACTCAAAGGAAAGCTATCAGGATGAAAAATTATCAAACTGAAACATGGTCTTCTACATTTAAAATGTGTATGTATGGTATATAATTCTAATTTTATTCTTTCCAATACTCAGCTTCTTTTAAAAAATTCTTTTAACGCTTATTTTTGAGAGAGACAGAGAGATGGAGCACGAGTGGAAGAGGGGAAGAGAGAGAGGGAGACATAGAATCTGCAGCAGGCTCCAGGTTCAGAGCTGTCAGCACAGAGCCCGACGTGGTGCTCCAACTCACGAACCACGAGATCATGACCTGAGCTAGAGTCGGATGCTTAACCAACTGAGCCACCCAGATGCCCCTCCAATACTTGCTTCTAAGCAGAAATCCATTTATCTTCTAAATTTCTCAATGATTTCTACACACCTCACTGACAGCCATATGCTCCTTGTAGTCATGGTACACGGTGTGAAATAAGCTGCCCTCTGTTGTAACACAGTTTACACTGCATGCGAATAAGTACATGTAACACAAGTTTTCTTTTTTAATACCTATTGATGCTGTGCCAAGAGAGCAAAGGCCTGAGAGAAAAACTGTAGGAATCCCAGGTGATTTAACTTACGAGGTTCCTCATGCCCTACCTGTATTAAAATACCTATTTTTTATTACCTAATTTCAGTGAAATTCATGAATTCTAGTTTTTAACTATTCTTCACATTAGAAGAGACTCCAAATAAAAAAACCGTAATATTCTCAAAGTTTAAATCTATCACAGAAAAGAAAGTAACTTTACCTGAACACAAAGTATCCTGTGAAATGTTCCAGGCTCCACACAGAGAGTTAACTGTGTCATCATGAGACTTCTCGAGCAACTGGGAAGCTGAAAATACAACCGAACACGTCATCGGACGCAGCGCTGACGCTGACACGCGGGGCCCACTGCACACCCACTGTCTGCTCTTTCACATCACACCAACACCGACTTCCACCTGCCACTTCACACTCCAGACCTGCTGCACAACGTTAAGCACAAAAACTCTTACTCAAATCTACTACAGACGGGGAGATTCATAAAAAATAATCTACAGAAATCATGTCACCAAAAGGATTAAATTTAGGATAAAGTTAGAAGAGATTTTGAAAAGTCAGTTTGCCTGGACCTGAGCAGAAGCTCAGCAAAGGTAAACAAATATTCTCAGCTCATCTTGTATAATAGTCGGGCTTTTTCTTCAAGAAGCCAGCAAACTAGAACCGTGGTTCTCAGCCCTGGGTGCCTTGGCTCCCAGCAGGTGACGGTCACGTCTGCAGACATCACTGGATGCCATGGGGTGTGAACCAAATTCTGCTGGTGTACAGTGAGTGGGCAGAGGCCAAGGATGCTGCAAGGCATCCTGCCGGACACAGGACAGCACCCCGCACTGCCCCTCACGTGCTCTTAACAATGAATGGTTCTGCCCAAAATGTCAATAGTGGCAAGGATGAGACTCCCTAGAGGTTTCACAGAATAAAATCCAGGATATCAATAATTTAACAAGGTCACAAATATTATCGTCAAATCCTGTGCATACAACAAATCAGAAACAAGAAAGACATTTTGGTCTCATACCCAAGGATGTTTTTTAAAGAGACTCAAACCATGCTTTCTTGAGGAAACGTTAAATCAAGATCAGAATGGTGAGCACAAGAACAAGTGTTTCAGGTGTTGAATTCTGAGCTGTGCTGGATGCGGTGAAGTAGCAGAATTAACCCGGCAAAGGAATGGCACAGTGCCAGGGGCCTATAAAGGTACATACGTGATTAGAGCAGAGCACTTGCTCCCAAGCTCCATATGCACACTCACCCTCCTCTTAGCAACAGAAACCTCATCTCGTCAGGGCAGCCACACTCTCTAAAAGACCATGCCAGTCTTGTTTGTGGTCTCCTTTGGCTCCATCTACTACAGTCCCCTTTGGCTGTCATCTTGGATGACGCTGGGCATCAGGCAAATCAAACTACATGTATGAACACAACACAAAGGACTGTGCCTGATTTCCTGGGTTGTCTGGAGTGGTTTCTTGCCCCTATTGTTCTCTGGCCATAACTGCTTACAACCAAGAAGAGCTATAAGACCCAGTGCTACTGGATAGAACTTTCCGTGTGCGAGGCTGTCCACAGGAAGCCGGCTCAGCTGGGAGACATGTTCATTTTAAATCGGAAGCCAGGCACTAAGGGAGACCAAGCAGAAAAGTGAGAGGCAAGACTCTTAAAAACCATGGAATGGCCACCCTATGACTTCTACTTAGTATGTCTTTGATGACATGACAGAAACATGCACCTCTATCTAATTTGAGCCACTCATGGTATTTGTTACATGCAGCCCAAACCAACCTTAACTGATACAGGTGCCCAGTGCATAGTCACGTACAAATATATTCAAGGTAGGTTAAAATAAACCGTAAAGGTAATAGGAGCAAACACAGAACAATTTTAAAACCTTGTGGTGGGGGAGTTCTGGGCGTCAAAGGAATCCTGGAGGTCATAAGGAAAAACCAACAGATCTGCCTACATTAAATGTTTCTGTTTTACAAAAGTTGCTGCATGTTAAATGAGAAAGCAAAGATTTTGTGCATTTCAATCAACAATATACTTACTGACTGCCTACGAAAGCACACTGGGCTCTACACTAGCTCGGAGAAGGGCTCTACACTAGCTAGGAGAAAATGCTGCAACATTCAACGATTACTGTGCATGATATAAAAAAGACTCTTACAAATAAGAAAAACAGGAAATTGGACAAAGACATAAAATTCACAAAGATAATGCAAAAGTTATAATTAGTGATAGAATCGAAAACAAAAAAATATGTTCTTCTCATAAGAAGTGACCTCAAAAGCAAACCAAAGAAATGAAGTTTTTCTATCTCAAATTGAGTAAGATAAAGAGTAACATATTTTTCCAACCGTGGAGACAGTGGCACTCTCATAAACAGCTCGCAACAGGTGAAATAGCACTAACTTTTTTTTTTAAATTTTTTTATTTATTTCTAGGAGAGAGGGAGAGAGCGAGCATGAGCAGGGGAGGGTCAGAGAGAGAGGGAGTCACAGACTGAAACAGGCTCCAGGCTCTGAGCTGGCAGTCAGCACAGAGCCCGACGCGGGGCTCGAACCCACGAACCGCGAGATCATGACCCAAGCGAAAGTCGGATGCTTAACCGACTAAGCCACCCAGGCGCCCCAGAAATAGCACAAACTTTGAAGGGCAATCTGACAAGATAAAGAATTTTAAATTCTGCCTTTATGAATTAACACTGTCGAAGCACACAGGAACACAGAGTTGCAGAGAAGCATGTCCACCAGTGGAAGGACTACACGAGTAAAAAGGAAAAGGAAAGCCTCACGACCACAAACAGGAAAACGGTTAAGCAGAAACAAGAACCATATCGTGCAGTTTAAAAAGGATAAAAACTTGCAGCACTATTTCTAATAAAGAACAACTGGTAAACCTCTGCTAGCAGATGACTCAGTATCTAAACTCCAAGCTACTCTGCAGCATCTTAAAAAGAGAAAAGAAAGAGAGAAGTAGGGGTCATACCTACTGATCAGGGAAAAACCTCCAAGACACTTTTAAGGTTAAAAAAAATAAATAAGGGCTGAAATAACAGGTATGCCATGATTCAATTTAGGTGAAGATAGACTACAGGTCCACACCTCACAGGAAGACACAGAAGCCTGTGCACACAGGTGTGTGATGCACCGGAAGCCATCTGGAAAAATATGCACACTTACGATATGGGTTCTCCATGGGTGGAGAATTCAAGGAGAACCCAGATGGCTGTTCACTAGGAGCTGTACGCTGGTGTTTTATGAAAATGTACTCATATGGTATTTAACTAGAAATTTTAATAATAGCCCAAATATAGAAAAACATAAACTCATAATTAGTCTAAATCAAATTCTTTCAAAGAGCTTGGTTTATTATTTTTTAAAAAAGAAAATATCCCCAAAATATTAAAAATCACAAAGGGGTTACAAAAAATAGATTCTCAACCTATACATCCAAAAAATACATGCCTAATACATGCTTAAAATATATGCTTTAAAAATCTTAATGAAGCGTAAGATTTTCTGGAGGAAAATATTAACACAGTCCACCCTGAAATAGGTAAAAATCTATTAGAATTAGGAAACAACTGAAGTCTCTAGGGAAGGAGGAATAAACCTTCCCCCCACAGTTTACACACCAAGCGCTCGGTTCCCTTTATAACATGCCAACACTTACAGGTAGGCGAGAGGTTCTCCCTCTTCTCCTTCATCTGCTGCAACCTCTTCTCCATGGTACTGTGCTGGCCGCTGTACATTTTAATCGTGGGACTGTAGATCAGTGAGCCATTGGATTCAAATAGGAGAACAGGGACATCATTATCTGAAAATAAACAAAAATCCAATTTTAAACTTAATAAAAAAGCCTTCTTACTGCAACGATCTGATTCGTTTCATGGGAACACTCCCAGTCCATCCCATAGTCCTCCACCTTCCCTTCACCATCATCACCTACTACCATCAATATCTGTCATCACCCCTCCACTTCCACGGTCAACACGGGCACCAGAACTGCGGCCGCTGGCTGAGGAAAGTCCACGTGCCAGGTGCTGTGCTAAGCACTATACGTGCACCACTTCACTCAACGTCTCCTAGCCCCAAGGCATCAGGTGTCAGAATTTAAAGATGAGGAAACCAAGACACACAAGTTACTTTACTTTTTTGTATCTAGATCAAATAAGTATCTCACACCTAGTAAGAAGGAAGAGCCAGAATGCAATCTGGCTCCTAAATGTTGGAACGGCTATTATTAAAAAGAAAAGAACAAGTGTTGGCCAGGAAGTGCAGAAAAGCTACTCTTGCACACTCGTGATGGAAATGCAAACTGGTAGAGCTATTGTGCAAAACTCTATGGAGGTTTCTCAAAAAACTAAAAACAAAACTTCCGTATGATCCAGCATTCTACTTTTGGGAATCTACCTGAAGGAAACAAAAACACTAATGCAAAAAGGTATTTGCATGCCCATTTCACTGCATTAATTACAAAGGCCAAGACAAGGAAACCACCTCAATGTCCATCTATGGATTACGGAAATTGTGGTATGTGTGTATACACACACACACACACACACACACACACACACACACACACAGGAATATTATTTGACCATAAAAAAGAGCAAAACTTTGCCATTGATGATAACATGGGTGGACCCTGAGGGCATTACGCTAAGTGGAATAAGTCAATTAATGCAAAAGAATACTATATGTTATCACTTATGTGTGGATTCTATAAACAAAATCAGAAAACAAAAACAGAACAACCATGGTCATGGATACAGAAAACAGACTGGCAGCTGTCTGAGGCCCAGAGTCAGCGATGAGCAACATGGGTGAAAGGGGTCAAAAGTACAAACCCCCAGTTGTAAAAAGAGCGAGGCACGGGGACTACAGTGAACACTGGACTACATTTGTGAAAGTAGCTGGGAGACTGGGTCTTGAAAGCTCTATCATGAGAAAAAAATTTTTTATAACTGTGTATGGTGATAGATGTTCAGTGGACTTGTGATCATTTTACAATATACACATCAAATCACTGCACTGTATACCGGAAACTAGTATGTTATGCCAATTATAGTTCAAAAAAGCCCCAGAAATGATTCTATGATTAAATACATAAGGACAAAAATTTCTCTATTTTTTGATTCCACAGAAGCAGCCTGTTGCTACAAGTGAAAAATGTAGGTAATTGATCTTCTAAAAGCCTTGTGCAAGATGCAACCATCAACAAAACCTGATTGTTACCACTGTTACAGTGCTATAATGTTTTACAAGTAATTGAAGACAGGAATAGAGTATCTTGAAGCCAAGTAATGCCTACACAGAGAAAAAGGAAATACAAAAGCTGTATATGTGTCAGGGAACCACTGAAGAGACCAGGACCAGAGAGGTCGCGATTCTGCAGAGTGGGAATGCTGAGGGGTGAGCTCATGAGCAGAGGATGGTTTACCCCCAGGAGGATTTATCATTAAAGGGCCTGGGGCAAGAGGCTGAAGGGCTGGTCTCTGACCCAGCAGAGAGCAGCTGCTGAGAAACAAAGGTACAAGACAAGACACAAGCCAAGAGTTTGGCAGTATCAACAAACTCAAGAGAAAACCAAAAGCTTCGCAGCACCAAATCCCACTGAACAGGGCAGAGAAGAGATCCAGTCCTCGCATGCACGTTATTTTATCCTCAAAAAAGTTGCCAAATTCTGAAGCTACAAGTTGCCAAATTCTAAAAGCTAAGCGGGGGGGGTGGGTGGGGTGGGGTGGGGGGGGGGGGGGGTGTGTGTGTGTGTGTGTGTGTGTGTGTGTGTGTGTGTGAGAGAGAGAGAGATGTAAAGTTCTCTCTGTTTATTTTCACTGAAAGATGAAAATGGAAGTTCAGGACCAGCCAGGGGAAGGGGTCGTTATTATTCCAGGCTCTCAGAGGAGAGTTCTAGGTGGCCACATCCTGGTATCACTGTCAAATCAGAAGTCTACCACGCCTCACCAAAATCAGAGAAGTTCCTGCTCAAAACAGTCCCGATAAAGCCTACACTGGGAACTCAGCAGGGGAAACTAGAAACTTTGTGTCTAAGAGAATAATATTGCCTGGAGCTTCAAACATACTTTATAACTAATGACTTGCCTTCAATTACAAAAGCCATCATTCTTACTGAAACAGGGCATTAGGACAAAAAGCAGGACAAAAAAACACAGAACAGAGCAGAGGCATTCTAGATAATGCAGATAAGAAGCAAAGAAAAAATGTCAGTGATTTAATCCGAACAGCAGAATATATTTAAAATATGGGAAACCCTAGAACTGCAAAGTAAAATAACCAAACTTATGAATGCAAAAGATGGATTTTAGAGCAGATTACACACAGAAGAATGTATTAGTGAACTGTAAAAAAAAAAAGGTCAATGGACAATATACAAACTGATGCACAGAGAGGGAAAAACAATTCAAGCACCTCTGTGAACTCCAAGTAGGAGATTTAAAAAGAAAACTGGCCCATGAACATAAAATTCAAACTATTGAAGGCAAAATGCAAACAAAATGCACAGTTAAAAGAAAATATACCTTTAAAAAAACAAAAATACAACTGTGGGCTAATTTGCAAACCCAAAGAAATGTGTTGTTTTTTTTTTTTTTTTAGCTTTACTGAGGAATAATTAACAAATAAAAATTATATATATTAAAGGCAAAAAAAAAAACCTGGGGTGACTGGGTGACTCAGTCAGTTAAGCACCTGACTTCGGCTCAGGTCATAATCTCATAGTTTGTGGGTTTGAGCCCCACATTGGGCTCTGTGCTGATAGCTCAGAGCCTGGAGTCTGCTTCTGGTCTCCCTCTCTTTCTGCCCCTCTCCCACTCTCTCAAAAATAAACATTTAAAAAAATAATAACAACATATCATCTAACATTTGCCCATGCTGAGTAACAAAAAGGCCAAGTATTTATCAGGTAAAAATATAAAAATAGATATAAAATAACAAAGAAATAAACAGGGATTTATTCCAATAGGGCTTCTTAGTCAAAATCTGTTTTCCATTATGATTCCTGAAGATAAAAAGTTCCATCAGTTTGGTGAGCGACCCAGACTTCACGGCTGATGAGCTCAAATCCATGGCCCTACCACAGCCACGGCAAGCTTCCGCAGGCTGGAGCTGCAGGGTCCCCCTTACGGGGGTCCGTCCACCGGCCACCAGAGCAAGCGCCCATGCCCGTACTGGGTGTGCGCACTCACCCATCGTTGTTTTCTGCCTCTGGAGCTCTGTAGCCATTTTCTGAAATTTCTTCTGAAGCCTTTTATCATGTTCTGGTGTTTTAGGAATAAAATCTTTGGGCTGCATACACTTACGCTGTGCAAAAAGGACATAAAAATTAATACTGTATTGCAACTTTGTAAGAAAACAACTCTTCCCTTTGCATTTCTGGAATTTTTGTAACACTGCAAAGCCTTCTTAAAGGCTTTATTTCTTGCACTGCATGTGAAACAGCAAGTCATTTCTTTCTGTGCATCTGTAAAAGTATCAGCACAATTTTAAGAATAAACACAAGGTGGCTATACACTAAGTAGCTATGTTTACTCAGGCATTTTCTCCTGAAATCCTCCCAGCATTATTAGCTTCCATGAAAGTTCTTAAACAAAATTAGTCTCTTCCTCATTTTTGTTAATCTTCGTTATCTCCCCTCCCCCCACCAAAATTAACAACATAGTGACAAAATACGAGAGCAGTTTAACTACCAATGAAAAGAACCATTATTTAATCTTGCCCTATTGTCTTTAAATCACAGTAACTCTCTTCAGCTGGTGACCCCCAAAGACTCTACACACACACACACACACACACACACACACACACACACACACGAGGTGTGACAATGGGTGACTCCCAAGAAGTCTGAGGGAGCTTCCGCAGGCCTACACTTGTGTTCTTGACTGAGCACCTTGCTCTCACTCATCATTTAACAAAAATGCTGTGTCAGGCACTGGTCTCGACACAGGAAAAGATTCTTGCTGTCAGCAGCTTATGCTCTATTAATGAATGATGGAAATTAAACCCTACATAAGTAAAATAAGTTATATGTGTGAAAATAAACACAATAAGTAAATAAAGTGTAGGCGTGCCAGGAGGGTTAATTCCAGCCAGCCTGGAGCTGGCCTCGACTGTGGTCCCCGCCGAACATGCACAGCATGCAATGGGCTAACAAACAATGATGCTTTGTGACTGGGAGTCCAAAGCATCTGGGGGCATCGGTATTCTCAAAGCTCGCCAACTGCTTATCGCCAATGGGAGGGCTCGGCCGCTGGGGGCGGTAAGGCACTCACAAGGGCACATGACCAGCAACCGAAAGAGGCTCCCCTCCCGCCCTTCTCAAGCAGGGTCACGTAGAGTCCCGTGAGTCTTTGCAGACAACTGACCCCCACCTGACGGCCACCATTAGTACAGTAGGTTGGGAAGGAGAAGGCACTACAGACGAAAGGAAAACAGCAGGCAGGCGAGCCGGGGCAGCCGCACATGGGAGGATGGGCCTCGGCTCGCAGGGCGTTGGCGCTCAGGGGCCTCACCAAGAAAAGAACCGGGGCTCAAAGCCCCACCCCAGTCAGAAAAACGGTCACATCATGGAGTTTGGGGGAAGTGTGTTCCAGACAGAGGGAACAGAGAATGTAATGGCTCTAAATCACAAATATGCTTGGAATATTTGCACAACAGCAGGGATGAGGGTCAGGCTGGCAGCAGAAAGGAGGAGAGGGGGAACCAAGAACCTCCACAAAAAGCCCAAAATAATACCATCTGCAGTCATGTTCACTTTGCAACTGCACTTAGAAAAAGGAAAGAGAATGTTTTCGGGCACAGGTAAACCTTTAAAGAAAGTGTATAAGCAGTCATGACTTAGGCCTCATTAATAGGAAAATGACAAAGATCAGTGACATCCAGGTCTGATAACTGTGTGAAGAAACAGGCTCCCTCTACACTGCTGGTGGGGCTGTTCACAACAGAGAGCACGCACATTTCAACCCAGTAACTTCATCTCTACAACTTCCACATGGAGAAATTAATTAAACATGTCACACAAACAACGTGCTTAGGAAAAACCCACAATGATTTAAGGGTGCACGAATCCAAGAAAGACACATTCATGCCATAGAATAAGTGAGGTTGGCCGACGTATGCTGTCATGAAATGGTCAAAAACATACTGTGAAGAAGAAAACAGCAATCTCCCAAACAATACGTGTTAACATAGGAGAAACTCATTCGCACAAAAGACATATGTGTGTGTGTGTGTGTAATGTATGTGTACTGAAGACCATCCAATTCACAAGGACCCATATCAAACCAACAACTGTTTATTTTGGGGGTTCCTGGGTGGCTTAGTCGGTTGAGCATCTGACTTTGGCTCAGGTCATGATCTCACGGTTCGTGGGTTCGAGCCCAGGGTCGGGCTCTGTGCTGACAGCTCAGAGCCTGGAGCCTGCTTCAGATTCTGTGTCTCCCTCTCTCTTTGCCATTTCTCCCCCAAATCTCTCGCAAAAATAAATAAACATTAAAAAAATTAAACAACAAAAAAATCCCCAGCAGACACAACTATTGCTAAGTGTATCAAAGAGAGTCAAGAGACTTGCACCCCCTATTTCACCTATATGTGAATGAGATCAGGGTGGAGACTGAAGTTAAGTGCACCTGTCAGTGCACCACAAACCCTGGCTGGCCTGCCATGAATGGAATGGAGGTAGAAGATTTAGTATTTACAGAAAATCTGAGACACCCACGGGAATGTCTTCTTTAACTACGGGAAATGTATGGTTCTAGTCTGTCTAATTCAGTTTGGAGAAAGTCCGCAGATCGCTTCTCCAACGGGCATTCTCATGCGAAAAGGGACTAGGACATTTCCTAGTAAAGCAACTTACCCTCAGATAAAGAAATCACAATAAAAGCTTTTAAATAATAAAACAGTGAAAACGTTGTAGTTCAAATATGAATTAGACCTCAAAATGTCTTTAAGTCTGCAGAGCAGATTTTCAATAAACTTATTTATTAAATAACTTGGATATTTCTGCTCCAGACTGTTAAGATTCTCCAAGAGCAGAACAAGGTATTTTGCTATAGACATAACAAACCGAATTCCGAAGAAGTTCCTAGAGCACCTAGACATTTGCTGGTCTCTTGGCAACTTCCAGTTTTCTGTTGGGCAAACCTCTCTCTTCCATGTCTCACAACTTTAAAAGATAAAATAATTTCCGTAACTGTCTTAAAAATGCTACAGGAGAAGAACACCAGGAGCAGCAGCAGCACTTAAGACAACTCTTGAATATGCTCTAAATAGTTTCATTTTCTAGGAATAAAAGACTGAATAAATTCATAGTTGCCACTGTCCATATTGAAATCACATACTCACTTTTTTTTTAATTAGGCTTGGTAAGTGTTCCCTGGTGTTGGCTGCCGGGAACAGCGATTCATCGATGTGTGCTCCAGCTGTCCTGCATCTGTGTAATTAAATTGAGAGTATAATGAGCATTTGTTTGTTATATTCACACAGCATTAAATCTGCACATATGTCAGTTAGCAGTTTAAGAAATGCACAGGCCATTTCAATAGATGTGTCTTTTAAAGTAAGTACGCCTAACGGCGCCTGGGTGGCTCAGATGGTTACGTGTCCAACTTCAGCTTAGGTCGTATCTCACAGCTTGTGAGTTCGAGCCCTGCATTACCCTTTGTGCTGACAGGTTGGAGTCCAGAACTGCTTCGGATTCTGTGTCTCCCTCTCTCTGTGCCCCTCCCCTACTCATGATCTGTCCTTGTCTCTCTCTCTCCCTCTCTATCTCCCTCAAAAATATACAAACATTCAAAAATAAACAAAGTACATTTGTAAGCAAATACAAAGGGCAATATAAATTCCACTTGCCAAATTATTCTCTATACAGTATTCACTGTGTAAGAGCAGAAGCAAGCAGCAGGTAAAGGAAGCACAGTTTTTCCGTGGTAACTTTAGTCTTGTAGCACCCTTCAAAATGATCAGTGCATGGCACACATACCACTGAAGCACATGTTATTAAACGAGTGATGTGAGTGTAGACAGGACAAAAAATGAATAATCTAGAGCTAGAAGGTTCCTAAATAAATTAGGCTGCAATGTTCATGTTGCCCCCCAAACTGGGTTGTGTCTTGTGTGTTTTGCCTGGAGAGCAGGGTGGGCTGATGACACTTACCCCAGGCTGCGCCCCACCCCCAGACCTGTGTACAGCCACTGGGCAGGTTCTGCTGTGCAGCCCTTCACGCCCTCCCTGCCTTGGGGATCCTGGACCATCACCTACTTCTAACCATTCAGATGCTCAAATGTAAACAATTACAATAATTTTCTTTTTTTTTTTTTTTTTTTTATGTTTTATTTATTTCTAGGAGAGAGAGAGAGACAGCGTGAACAGGGGAGGGTCAGAGAGAGGGAGTCACAGACTGAAACAGGCTCCAGGCTCTGAGCTGGCAGTCAGCACAGAGCCCGACGCGGGGCTCGAACCCACGAACCGCGAGACCATGACCTAAGCGAAAGTCGGACGCTTAACCGACTAAGCCACCCAGGCGCCCCAACAATTACAATAATTTTCTAAACGATCTCCTTACCTATAGTTTCTACACTTCTCATTCATTTATATCATTAGTGCTGAAAGATTAAGCATATAACATTTTGCTCATCTCTCCACAACCCAACCGAAAACCTTTGATTACGCCTATGTTAACAGAATAATCTCACCTGTTGTTTCAGTCTTTTTAAAGTACAGCCCCTTAACACAACTCCAACTACATTTCATAAGATTGTCACTGTTCAACATTTATATGCAAATGATAGATGGAAATAGAATTAAAATACAATGCAAAAAAAAATAAGGCAAGTATGTCCATATTCATACATAGAGCTCTCTAAAATAGATTAAGAATAAAAACAAAACTTCAGCAGGGGGTATATGGGACTGTATACTATATATAATATGGTAAAGTCGTTCTTATTTTAAGCAGTCTGGAATATTAGGCACCAAACTGACAACAGTATTTATCACTAGACTTAAGGAATCCCAAAGTGTGGTCAGAAGACCCCTGGGGTCCCCAAGACACTTTTGAGGGCCTGTGAGGCCAAAACTACTTTTAGCACAAGGCATCGTTGGTCTTTTCATTGCCCGTTCTCTTGAGCACACAATGGGGTTAAAGCCAAATGACACGTGTAATCCTGGTACAGTGAATGCAGAGGCAGATTCCGAATGCAACTTTTTAGTAAGCCAGACAGGAAAGAGGTTTACAAAAAATGCTAAAATTAAAAAAAAAAAAAAAAAGAACGCAGCACAGTAACAGTGCTCAGGGAACGACGACGAGGCAGCACCCACGATGGGGGCTACTACAGGAGCCAAGAGAAGCTTTGGGTGGGGGCGCGGACTGCCAGTGAGGACGCGGATCTGTCTGGAAGGACAGCCGGTGCAGAAGGGCAGCAAAGGGAAGGCAGGGTGACAATTCCGGGAAAACACAAACCGCTGGTGGGACTGCAGTCCCCGATACTGGTCACAAGAAGGTCGCACAGGTCACCCCAATGGCGGTATTTGCCAAACTCGTGAGCTCGGGCGGCCCTCATCCTGCGGGCCCCAGGGTGCTCGAGAGGTGGGGTACAGGCCACTCTGCGGGGTGAGTTCCAGGACGGGGACATCGAGGGCAAGGAGATCAGTGATGGCTACAGGGGCAGGAGCCGCTGCAGGCTCCACGGAAGCTGTGGGGCGGGGTGGAGATCTGAATGAGCAGCACGGAGGAATAAAAACGGAATGTTCCTGAGCTCTTGTTGACACTGATGGACTGAGCGCATACGTTTTTCTCTCCTGCTCCCAAAACCTCAATCAAATGAGAGTAAAGGAAAGCAAAACGACACAGACCAACAGAAATGAAGAGGATATAAGGGACGTCTGGGGAACTGAAAAGCCAATACAGAGAAGGGAAGCACAGCCTGGAAGCTGAACGAGAGGGCACCACAAGGGACTGTGCTCCTCTCCTCACACCCCAGGGATGCGGATGCGGGCTGGGGCCAACCGTGCCCACAGTCAGGGCCACCAGAGCAGGCGACAGGTTCAGTTTTCAGATGACCTGGACCAGAGACGCACTGAACTCAAGGACACCAGGCTGAGCTCAGGTAAGGACAAAGTTTCCACAAAAGGAAATGTGTTTGTGTGTATTTTCAGATCAGCTAAAAACACCTTTCACAGTTGCAATTATGTAAAGTAAAACTGCTAGTTTATCAACTGCTGACTTTACGGAACCAAGAGAGAAGGGGTGTGTGTGTGTGTGTGTGTGTGTGTGTGTGTGTGTACATGTGCACAAAGGGTGGGTGCAGGTACGTGGCCCTGAAGTGGGGCCCCCGAAGGCAGCCACATAGAAAGCTAAGCCTGCACTCCACACTAGAGAGTCTAGACAGTGTCAAAACCTGGAACGTCACGGCAGCAGCGGAGACACTGAGGCACGATGGGTGGGTGGAGGGGCGCTACCCTGGGGGGCAGGAACTGGGGAGGGCAGAAAGGGACCACTGCTTCACTGCGAGCCTTGAATAATAGCTGGCCTTTCTCTTTTCCTGCATGTGAGGGGCTCTCTCTCCATAACAGGATGGGAACAGGAAACTGGGCATTCTGATTCACACGGAAATGGCTGGCACAACAGGGAGAGAAACGGCACCTAGAGCCAGACAGGAGTAAAGTGAGGAAGTGGTTAGAGCTGGCGGCAAGTGCAGGTCTGGGCCATTTTGAACTCAGGTGCCGTGCTTCATCCACAAGAGTTTCCCCAGCACGGACGCCTGGCACTCAGAGGGTGCACTGAGGGTAAAGACAGAGATGTGTGCAAAAATCCAAATCCCTGCAGGAGCACTACCCCGTCTCCGAGCTCCTCTCCTCATGGATCCCAACCACTGATGCTCTGAGATGCTCACACACACTGGCGGCATTCCACCTCAGGTCACGACCTTCTGTCCCTCAGAAAGCTGGTCCCCCAGGTCTCCGAGCATCTAGCTCCTCTGTGTCTTCTCCGCCTCAGCTCAAAAGTCACCAACTCCAAGAGGCATCCCCAGCCCCTAAGTAGGGTGACCAGCTGCAAACGGGCTCTGCCGCGAAGCCCCTCCTGGTCCCTTCCGAGGCCACACTACGCCCCCTCCTCCCACAAAGCCTGTGTCTTTCATGGCGGGAGGGAATATGCCCATCCAGTGACAGCACAACCCCAATGCCTGGCAGAGGGCAAGTGCTCAAAAGACACTTTCTGAAGGAGTAAATCTCATCACTGTGGAAATAAACACTCTTGTGAAATACCTTGACCTCCTTATCCCACACCACACATACACACACACGCGTGCTCGAGATCACAGAAATATAAAGGCCCAAACTATAAACTCCTAGAAGAAAAGGGAAGAAAAATTCATTATTTCAAAGTAAGCAAAGACATTCAGAGGGAATATCAAAAGCAAAAGAAACATAAAAGAAAACTAAAAACTGCACTTCAACAAAATAAAACACTGACATGCTCTGAAAGATGCAAAAGAGAAAATAAACAGTAAGTCACAGACTGAGATTTGTATTTACAGTATGTGGATCTGACAAAAAATTGCTAGGAACAATGTACAAAAACTAACTGCAACTCAGTATTAAGAAGACAAAAACCCAATTTTTAAAAATGGGCAAAAGATTTAAACCAAATAGTCACCAAGCATGTGATCTTACAATAAGTACGAGTCATGAGGGAAATGCATGCTAAAACCATAGGGGTCCTCAAATGTATGGTTAACAGGTTTGACAAGAAGGCTGACTCAAGTCAAAGGGAAAGAGTCCTCTTTTCAGCAAACAGTGTGGGACAAGACACACACACAAACAGGATGAGATCAGACCCCCACCTCACACCACACACAGAAACCAGCTCAAAACGGATCAAAGACCCAACTGTCAGAGCTCAAACTGTAAAATTCTCAGAAGAAAATATTTAAGAGTAAAACTTCTTGAGCTTGGATTTGGCAAGTTTCTTAAATGACATCAAAAGCACAAGAAACAAACAAATAACAAGTAGAACTCATAAAACTTAGAAACTTTTGCTTCAAAGGAAACCATAAAGGACTTATAAAAACAACCCACAGAATGCGAGAAAACACTTACAAATCCTAACAATATGAATACACATGATATATAGCCATACGGTGAAATCCTGTGTTAAGAAGAAGCTCTGATGCACGCGACGACATGGCTAGATCTCGAAAACATCACGTCAGGGAAGGAAGCCAGGCACAAAGACCACGTAGCGTATGACTGCGTTTACACGACACATTCACAAGAGGCAACTCTCGGACACAAGAAGTAGATTAGCAGTTGCCGTGGGTTGGGGGAAAGAGGGTGACATAAAGGGTACAAGGCTGCGCTCTCAGGGGATGAGAATGTTTTAAATCGTTGGTGCTGGCTGCAAAACTCTGTGAATACATTAAAAACCGCTC